ATACATACATACATTTGGGGGGGGTTCTGAGTTTGTGTTCCGTTTATTGTATTTATGATTCAATGCAACAAACTAAACAAATTTAAAAGGTAACAGATCATTGTAATCCGTGGTTTATTTACATAATGACTTTAATTGCTGAATGTTTGGCCCCTGAGCTGCTGACTTTCAGTAACTGTGGCTCCTTGAGCAGTTTAGCTGAACAGCCTACACAGTTAAGGTATTCCTATATTTGGCATTTTGTGTTGCTGCCCCCCAAGCTGACAGCATGTGCAGGTGCACACTATAGAGTGGGATACAAGAAAGGGAAGGATGGGGTGCAAAGAGTTAGATAAAAATCCTCTCATTAGCAACCCTGGAGTGAGTGTTAGAAGAATCAGCAGCTAACACCTTTTTAGGGCAAGTATGGCAAACAGTGCAACAACACTTTTGATAGCAGAACCTTGTCTCTCACCTGTGAGTTGTTGGAACAAAGGGCTAAGTTCCATCTCCTGCATGATGACCAGGGTGAGTGCTCCAATCAGCTCTTGCTCCAGCTTCTCCAGCTCCTCCTTCTCCACTTCTGCATCCTGGTCCGTGGGCTGAGCCTCATTGGCCAGAGAGTACAAATAGATCAGCAGGAGGATCAGCTCATCTGGCCCGCACTCATCTTCCATGCAACTTGAACCAGAGGATGAGCTGTCCCGGGGCTTCATCAGGGGCAGTAACTGCCTCAGCACTGAAGGAAAGTTAGAGTCTCCAAGAGTCTGTGACATACAGGAAAAAAAAGAACAATAAAAAAAAACATGATGAAGTCTGCAAGTTTTGTACACAAACATTTTTGAGAAAACACACTGAAGGTTTTGTGAAAGGATTAAGAAAACACCATTAAATTGGTGTTCCTTATCAGGTTTGGTTTATTTGTCATATGCAGAATCAACACAAGGTCAACATTGCAATGAAATGCTGAGGACGAGAAGAACCTCACTAGTTATGTTTATATGCGCACAATTATTTGACCAGATTGAAATGTTTTCAGATAAAATAATTCAAATGTATCGTTTACATGGGCACAATCTGTTCATGACGAGCGTTTACATGCAGCGGGCTTTGTTCTGAACAGCAGTACTGACATGCGCAGAGTGGTAAACTCTCCTTAAAAAACACTGAAGAAAAAGTTCTACTTCCGATTTACTTCCGGGATGAACGTAAACAAACCTGAGCACCCAAAATGGACCCAAAAAAAGGTTTTAATGATGGTGGAGATGTTGCTGCACTCCCTGACTGAGCTACAGGTGATACAGATCATTTTGAGCGCTTTCAAAGTTTCTAGTAGAAATGTTGTGTTGCTCACTGACCAGTTTTGCTTCCCTGACATGCTAATATTATTAGCATTAGCCAGGCAGAAATACGTGAGGTAGACATAGGTCGAACATGTGCGGTCAGGTCAGTTTTCCAAAATCGGAAAAAAATTAACAAATTAAGTGTTTACATGCACACCGTTCGGATTATAAATCGGCATAAACCATCCCTCTTATTCGGATTACAAATACTTTCGGATCGAGCTGAATCAACAAAGAATAATCCGAATGGGGTGTTTACATGACACATTTTTATCCCAAATGGCTGTTTAATCTGATTACTTATGTCCATATATATACAGTTGTTGTTTAGATCAGGTCTAACAGGACCAGTGTAGACTAAGTCTATACTGGTCCTGTTAGACCTCAGTGCTGCATTTGATACAGTTGATCATAATATTCTATTACAGATGCTTAAATATGATGTTGGAATTAAGAACGGCTCTAAAATGGTTTAAATCATATTTATTTGATTCCAATTGGTAAATGCAAATAATGAATGTTTTTCATACACCAAAGTTAGTCATGCAATTCCCCAGGGTTGAGTGCTTGGACTAATACTCTTTACTTTATACAATAGTCCTTCGTTTATTGCGGGGGTTCCGTCCCCCCCGCGCAATAAGTGAAAACTGCATAGTGGGGATAGTAGTACAAATATTAAAAGTAGTACCAAAGTGCATGCTCAATAATCCAGGTAATAATCCAACAACGTTCAGTCAGGTCATCCGGACATTTTTTTTTCTTTGCTGAGACGGTTTGTCCTTCATCCGAAGGACTTCTTCAATTTCAGGACAAAAACCACAAGCAGAACTCTTTCATAGTAGATTACGGTTATTTTTTCACTACGGATGTGTGCTGTTTGTGGTGGGACTTAGTTTGTTGGTAGCTCCTCAGACTGAAGAAGTCCTTCGGATGAAGAATGAAACAGCATCTCAGCCAGGAAAAAAAAAAAACATCCAGATAACCTGGCTGAACATTGTTAGGAAAAGTAGTAGTAAGTAGTAAGTTTATTTGAGTATATATATATATATATATATATATATATATATATATATATATACACAGTGCCTTGCAAAAGTATTCGGCCCCCTTGAACTTTTTAACCTTTTGCCACATTTCAGGCTTCAAACATAAAGATATAAAATTTTAATTTCTTGTAAAGAATCAACAACAAGTGGGACACAATCGTGAAGTGGAATGAAATTTATTGGATGTGTCAAACTTTTTTAACAAATAAAAAACTGAAAAGTGGGGCGTGCAATATTATTGGGCCCCTTTACTTTCAGTGGAACAAACTCAGTCCAGAAGTTCAGTGAGGATCTATGAATGATCCAATGTTGTCCCAAATGACTGATGATGATAAATAGGATCCACTTGTGTGTAATCAAGTCTCCGTATAAATGCACCTGCTCTGTGATAATCTCAGGGTTCTGTTCAAAGTGCAGAAAGCATCATGAAGACCAAGGAGCACACCAGGCAGGTCCGAGATACTGTTGTGGAGAAATTTAAAGCCGGATTTGGATACAAAAAGATTTCCCAAGCTTTAAACATCCCAAGGAGCACTGTGCAAGCAATCATATTGAAATGGAAAGAGTATCAGACCACTGCGAATCTACCAAGACCCGGCCGTCCCTCTAAACTTTCATCTGGAACAAGGAGAAGACTGATCAGAGATGCAGCCAAGAGGCCCATGATCACTCTGGATGAACTGCAGAGATCTACAGCTGAGGTGGGAGAGTCTGTCCATAGGACAACAATCAGTGGTACACTGCACAAATCTGGCCTTTATGGAAGAGTGGCAAGAAGAAAGCCATTTCTCAAAGATATCCATAAAAAGTGTTGTTTAAAGTTTGTCACAAGCACCTGGGAGACACCAAACATGTGGAAGAAGGTGCTCTGGTCACATGAAACCAAAATCAAACTGTTTGGCCACAATGCAAAACGATATGTTTGGTGTAAAAGCAACACAGCTCATCACCCTGAACACACCATCCCCACTGTCAAGCATGGTGGTGGCAGCATCATGGTTTGGGCCTGCTTTTCATCAGCAGGGACAGGGAAGATGGTCAGAATTGATGGGAAGATGGATGGGGCCAAATACAGGACCATTCTGGAAGAAAACCTGTTTGAGTCTGCAAGAGACCTGAGACTGGGACGGAGATTTATCTTCCAACAAGACAATGATCCAAAACATAAAGACACATCTACAATGGAATGGTTCACAAATAAACGTATCCAGGTGTTGGAATGGCCAAGTCAAAGTCCAGACCTGAATCCAATCGAGAATCTGTGGAAAGAGCTGAAGACTGCTGTTCACAAACGCTCTCCATCCAACCTCACTGAGCTCGAGCTGTTTTGCAGGAAGAATGGGCAGAACTTCAGTGTCTCATGTTCAAAACTGATGGAGACAAACCCCAAGAGACTTGCAGCTGGAACTGCAGCAAAAGGCGGAGCTACAAAATATTAATGCAAGGGGGCCCAATAATATTGCATGCCCCAATTTTCAGTTTTTTATTTGTTAAAAAAGTTTGACAAATCCAATAAATTTAATTCCACTTCACGATTGTGTCCCACTTGTTGATTCTTCACAAAAAATTAAAATGTTATATCTCTATGTTTGAAGCCTGAAATGTGGCAAAAAGTTGAAAAGTTCAAGGGGGCCGAATACTTTCGCAAGGCACTGTATATACATGTATGTAAAGGCTTTTTAAACCCTTCATACATTTGCAATATTCTAAACTATGTTTCTAAACTCTATAAACACTAAAAGCACAGAATGTCACAAGCTCCGCTCTCTGCCATCTGCCGCTCTGTGCCACACCTAATTCTCAGCTGCAATCACACTCATCACCTCCCAATCATCCTCCTTCTGTGCAAATAAACAATTCAATTTTCAATTCTGTAACATTTTAAATAAACAATCCATGCAGCATGGATCATTATTTAAAATGTTACAGTATTTAAATTGTAGAGAAGAGAAGCGCAGCAGGACATCAAAGGGTTAACCCTCCACACAGCTCTGCTGTACGGAGCAGAAATGTACTTCTTCATCACTTACACTCTAACAACTGAACATAGTAGTTCTAAAAAAGTTTTTAAAAAACTTAACACTTATATTTTGTGATTATGACGATTTTATATTGTGACATACTTTGAATTTTAAGTTGGAAGACAAAAGTTGATCAGTACATCTGGACAGAAAAGGGTTAACCCCTCACAAAGCTGCTGCAGCACGGAGGAGAAATGTGGGTGTGGCAGAGAGCGTGACACGCTGCAAGAGGGAGCTAGACCCTGCACTTAATGATTTAGCAGGTGCTAAATCATCCATCCGTATGTCCATACATTATCTTTATCTGCTTTGTTCCTTTTCGGGTCGCAGGGGTCACTAGTGCTCATGTTCAGCCATCACTGGGTGAGATGCAGGGACACCCTGGACAGGTCGCAAGTCCATCACAGGGACACATAGAGTCAAACGAGACAAACAACCATTGACTATCTCACTCACACCTAGGGACCATTTAGAGTTACCAATCAGCCTAATATGCATGTTTTTGGTCTGTGGTCGGAAACCAGAGTAGCATGGAGAGAACATGAAAACTCCACCAAAAAGGCACTCCTGCTGGGATCTGAACCAGGGCGACCTGCTTGCTGAGAGGCATCAGCTCTACCAACTGTGCCACCATGCTTCCCAGTGCTAAATCGTTTAAAAGAATTGATTTTAAATAAACAATCCATGCTGCTCATGCAGCTCATCCATCAATCAGCCAATTGTGTGTCATGTCTATCATGACTGTATTTAGTGGTGGGCCCCAAAGTAAGCAGACTGAGAAAGAACGACAGAGTCAGGATATAAAAGGTAAGTGAACTTTATTTACAGGTGCGGTGCCAGGTATTTACAGGGCTGGAAGAGAGGAGAGGGCAAGGTGAGTATTTCTTAAATCCTCAGACCATCCTTGATAATGGTGAAGTTGGAATGGATAATAATCTCTTACTGTTTTTGTGTTGTAGGTGAACCCCCAGAAGGAGTGGAGAAGTCCTGTTTTTTTTTTTTGAAAATCCAATGAAGAGGTGAGTATTGGTGGAAAGAGGAGCAGGTTGACCCAAGCTGGTTTGTTTGATGGCTGCAGTTTAATGAGACACCGTTGGTCCACAGGAAAATCACTGTGGAGAGATGAGGTCCACGCCCCACTTTTCAGTTTTTTATTTGTTAAAAAAGTTTGACACATCCAATACATTTCATTCCACTTCACGATTGTGTCCCACTTGTTGTTGATTCTTCACAAAAAATTAAAATTTTATATCTTTATGTTTGAAGCCTGAAATGTGGCAAAAGGTTGAAAAGTTCAAG